TTACACAATGGCATTTAGATGATTTAAGTGTAAATGAATCAAAGACATATGGATTGCATTTCCCTTGAAATACGCATGGGTTTTAAAATGAAGGGAAAACATACTTGCCAAAATCCTTTTTGGGTTGTGCTGCATCAAAAACATTTGGAAATGACTTTAAATGTTTGGAAGAACCCCAGATACTGGGTTCAGTCACCCCTGGAGATTAAATCAGTGTCCTTCATCCAGTGATAACTAGGCCCCTGTTTTGCAAAGACATTTCTTAAAAATGTCAAGTCCCTAAACTGACACTCCTGAAAACTGACTTTTTTTGATGTTTGAATTGCTAATTCAATGATAGGGTCTTATTATGGAGTCTTCCCCAGAGACTAGGAATCCATTTTGTGTTATTTAAGCCCAGAAGCACATTTCAATTTTGCCCAATTTCTTAAATGTGGTTAAAAATGTAAGTTCTTTCTGTTGTGGAGGTAAAAAATTAGTGGTTCTTGGAGTCCAAAAGGAAATCAAGTTTTGAGCTGAATGAAGGGGGATTATATGATCAAGAAGATAAAAATGGAAAACTTGTTTTTTTTCTTGAAAATGTATTCAGGCACAAGTTCTGACATCATCTGACTGTTAGCACACTTCAGAAATAAAAGGAAGGAAGGAGGGAGGGAGGGAGGAAAGAAAGGAAGGAAGGAAGAAAACTGGATGTTAAAATGTCTTTGGAGTTAAAAAGAGATTGTGAGAGAAATATAGAAATAAATTAGGTTTAACAGAAATGGGTAGTTTCATGAAAACAGCTATGCAGAAATAAGAACAAAACACCAAGTACAACAAATTAAAAAGACTGATGCACAGGCAGGTGATATATTGAAATGAATGAAACATAGGTTGGCACAAATGATAAAGCATCAAGAGGAAGTAGAGAAGGGTGGTGCTGTATTGCTGGAAGAAAATGTGTTAGATGTTAAAATCAAGAAAAAAGAAGAAAAAAAAACAACAACATAGGACAATACCCAATGTGACAGAAAGGCTGCAAAGGCACTTAGTAGTTAGGGAAAGAATAATAAAAGACCATCTAAAACATGTGAGAGACTGTTATTTAAGTCTGTGCAGCCGAATTTATATTAAAAATACTAGATCTGATTCCACATGCAGTTCTGATGTGAGAAGAAACAGCTTTCAAAATTGTTTAATGACCTCCTGATAGGAAGGTTAACAGGATTATCATGCGGTTCACTGGAGGATGGACAGCAACTCTCAGCGTGTCCCTCACTCAACGTGTGATTCCAATATTCTCCTTTACAGGGAAGTGTAAAATCATTGTGTTACTCAAAGACATTAGTCAGAAAGTTGGGATGCTTTTAATGAGGGAAGTTGAACATAAAAGGGAAATGAGGAAAGGAAGAAAAGGAGTTTAAAACCTGCCTCTTTCAGCTTACTTCTGCCCTAACTATGGGGGTGTCTGGGGGACTGAACCTCTCGAGGTTTTGGTTTGCTGTGGTCTCCTCTCACTTCTGACCGGGCTGCTCACAGCCTGGCAACTACTGTGACATTCCCTGCTTCTTACAGTTTATTGCTCCTCCATTCTGCTCTCCAGCCATTTTCTTGTCAAAGTGGGGAAGTATTCTCCATCTTCCTTTCTGTTGTGCAGACCACACAGTAACACTGCTTTGCATGGTCAGTGTCCTGTGGAGACTTTAATAAGGGTCTCCATGATAGCCTCCTTTTGACAGTTGTGGTCTTAGTAGCAACTGGGTATGGGAGAGTTGGGATGGGGAAGGGAGGGAGGTATCCAAAGAATACTCCATGAATACTCTTCAGTCATAGAATAACACAGATCATACCTTTTCTTTTTTGATGACCCATTATTTTGCCCTAGACTTGGATTCTCTAACTCCCAAGAAACTGTATTAGGGTAATTAGTGCCAGGTGCTATGACAAACAACCATAGAATCTTAGAGACTTTACCCAATAAAGGGTTTTCTTCTGGCTAATATCACAGTCTGTTGGCAGGCAGCTTCCCATCCCATGATTCTGGAATCCCAATTCTTCTATCTTGTGGTGGGATCACCTTCTAGGGCATCTTCAGAGTCCACTGCTGTATTGTCTGTATTTAGGTGCCTGACCAGCAAAGAGTGAGGAATATCACATGAGGCATTTGATGTCCATGACTGGAAGTGGTGAACATTACTTCCAGGACATGGCACCAGTCTAATTGCAGGGGATGCTGGAAAATTTATTTTTTCTAAGTACACAGGATGAAGAATTGTGATTTGTGAGCTTTTGGGCAGTCTTTGCTACAGTGACCAAGGGGCTTTTTCTTCTCTAAAGCAAATTATTCCTTAATGGGGTCTGTCTTCTCAGCTTTTGCCATGTGTTCAGATATGTCTGAGTTTATGAACATTATTTAATGCAGAAACTGAGATAGAATATTTAAATATACATAGCTAATAAATGAAATAACTTGAATGTAACTCAAATTTTCCTGAATCTCAAGTTATAATCTCCCCCTAAATTTTATACTTCGGGGCACGGCAATAGCGATGAGATCAGCTTGGGAGGGAAATGACTCCTGTGCTTTGCACTCCTGAAGCCCTCTGAGATATCAGAAACTCTCTAGCATCAAAGATTTGTTACAGGTAGATATGTTACTATAAGATTTGTTACTCAGATTTGCTACTATAGCTAAGGTATTTCAGGATAATGCTTATAGAAGAAATCCTGAGGTTGATATTGGCTCATACTGGTGGGAGAGTGAAAAACACTGGGAGAGAGGGTATGCCCTCACCTCATTCTCCAAATTGGGCGCAGTAAGTTGGCCCTGTCCAATGGCCTCAGAAAATATCTTTAATTGCCTCTCTTTTGACCAGAAAGCTGAAGCAAAATGTCAAGACCATTGAGAAAGAAAGACAGTGGGATTGAACTTGGATTTCAGTGTTGCCCTTAAATTGTAGTTTTGCTTTTTAGCAGTTGTGTGAGTATGGATTCATTACTTCAACTCACAGAGCCTCTGTTTTCTTGTTAGGAAAATGGGGGTAGTGAAACTTAACTCTCAAGGCAGTAAGGATTAAAAAAGTTAACAAGGGTACTATGCCTAACAAATAGGAGACACTGCAACTAAGGGTTATTCCATTTCCCCTTTTTATTCTCTTTCAAAAATGTGACATCAAGGGGAGGCATCATGGTGCAAAGATAATTATTCTGGATGCTGTGGAAAACTGAAGAGGCAAAATGGTAAATTTATTCATTCATTTATCATTAATAAATTTTAATCCACTTTTTCATTCATGTATCCATTCATCCATTCATTCACTAGTTAATTCATTCTTTCATACATTCACCAAATACATACTTACTGTGGTAAAACACTGTGGTAAACATTGGGGAAACCAAAAAATAGCCTGAACCCTGTTCTCAGGATCTGTGTCTTCTAGTGGAGAAGGAGACAGGCATATGTGCATGTCATGGAAATTATAAGGTGGAGCGTGATAAATGACGTAAACAGTTTAATATTAAGTACCGTGGTGGTGCAAAAAGGAAGGATAGAGTGGGGAATGTGAAAAGCATTTTGTGTTGGGATTTGACTATTGGTGGCTCTGGAATTTCTGAATAAGAGAAATTATAAAACTTTTGTTTGAGTATAGTTGACACAATGTTACATTAGTTTCAGGTGCACAACATAGTGATTCAACTGCTATATGTTATGCTATGCTTACAATAAGAGTAGCTACCATCTGTCCCATTACATCGCTATTACTGTATCATTGAATGTATTCTCTGTGCTGTGTCTTTTATTCCTGTACCTTGTTCATTCCATAATTGGAAGCCTTATCTCCCATTCCCCTTTACCCATTCTGCCCATTCCCCCATGCTTCTACGCTCTGACAAGCATCAGTTTGTTCTTTGTATTTATAGGTCTGGTTATGCCTTGTTTGTTTCATCATTTGTTTTGTATTTTAGATTCCACATGAGTGGAATCATGTGGTATTTGTATTTCTTGGTCTGACTTATTTATTTTAGTATACTACCCTCTAGGTCCATCCTTGTTGACACATAAGGTCCTGTAGGCCCATCTGTGTTGTTACAAATTATAAAATGCTCATCCTTTTTTTAAAAAAAATTTTAAATTTTTATTTTTGAGAGAGAGAGCGAGCATGAGTGGGGGAGGGGCAGAGAGAGAGGGAGACAGTGAATCAGAAGCAGGCTCCAGGCTCTGAGCTGTCAGCACAGAGCCTGATGCGGGGCTCGAACTCACAAACTGTGAGATCATGACCTGAGCCAAAGTCGGATGCTCAACTGACTGAGCCACCCAGGCGCCCCAAAATGCTCATCTTTTCTGTGGCTTTGTAATATTCATCTGTGTTGTGTGTGTGTGTGTGTGTGTGTGTGTGTGTGTGTATGTGTATGTGTGTGCACGTGCATGTGTGTGTGAGTGCATACTTCATCTTTATTCATGTATCAGTGGACACTTGGGTTGCTTCCATATCTTGGCTATTGCAAATAATGTTTCAGTAAATATAAGGGTGCATAAATCTTTTCAATTTTTTTTTTGTTTTCCTTGGGTAAAAATTGTAAAATTATTGGATCATATGGTATTTTTAATTTTTTGAGGAAACTCCATACTGTTTTCCACAGTGGCTGTACCAGTTTACATTCCCACCAACAGAGCACAAAGGTTCCTTATTCTCCACATCCTTACCAACACTTGTTATTTCTTATCTTTTTGATTTTAGCCATTCTGATAGATAATAAGGGGAAATCTCACTGTGTTTTGGATTTGCATTTCCCTAATGATGAATGATGTTTAACATATTTTAATATGTTTATTGGACATCTGTATGTCTACTTTGAAAAAATGTCTATTCATGTCCTCTGCCCATTTTTTAATTGGATTGTTATTTTGGTATCAAGTTATGTAAGATTGGCAGAAGCAATGCTATTTCTTTTGAAGCTATGTTTGAATAGCAAGAACACCAAATTTTCTTAGGCTGTGTATTACAAAAAATAAAGAGAACTCAATTTTCAAAGATGGTTTTATTCACATTTTTTCTTATAAAAATTGCAATCGTTTTTTTAAAATAGTAGATTCCATGTCCAGCATGCAGCTCAACTCAGAGCTTGAACTCAGGGCCCTGAGATCAAGACCTGAGCTGAGATCAAGATTTGGATGCTCAACTGCCTGAGCCACCCAGGCAACCCTACAAAAATTAAAATCATATAAAACATTTTTTCTTTCTCCTTATTTGCTGAAAAAATAATAATTTTTGGCTAGGTTACTTAAGGGGTTATGTTAGCTTGGGCTGCCATATCAAAATACTGTAGACTGGGTGACTTACACAGCAGAAATGTATTTCTCACAGTTCTGGAGGCTGGATGCCCAAGATCAGGTTGCCAGCATGGTTGGACTCTGGTGACGGCTGTTTTCCTGGTTTGCAGATGACTGCCTTCTCAAAATGTCCTTAAATAGCAGAGAAACAGCTCTGATGTCTCTTCCTCTTCTTAAAAGAGCAAGAGTTCTACTGGATTAGGGCTCGACCCTTATGACCTCTTTTAATTTTAATCACCTTCTTAAAGGCTCCATCTCCAGATATACTCACATTGGTGATTAGGGCTTCAACATATAAATTGGTGGGTGGAGGGAGGAACACAATTCAGTCCACAGCAGGAGTGGACAGAACCTCACCTCTTGGTGCTCTCTCTGCCTCGGAAACATGAGTGTTATTCCCTTTGAGAACAGACTGGAGAGGTAATAGCACAATCTTCTTTACCAAGTAGTATCTCAGAGTTGTCACAATTAAAAAGCTCAGATGTATAGTTCCAGTATGATTTGCATACTTGTCAAAGGGAGTATCTATTTGAAATAGAAGTAATTGACTCTATTCCTCCCTTTGAGGTAAATGTGTAAAGATTCTCTAGGGATAAAGTAACAATTTTGTCATTTTCCAATTGCTGGTTTTGTAGAAAGTCCACACAACTTTTTATAGACTAATAAATAATTTTACAACATTTTTGGATTTTGTTTTTTTTTCTTGCAGGTCTTAGAGATTTTTGAGCCTATACAATTTAACCATGATTAATGGCATATTTCTCAAAGACCAACATGCATGGCTTATAGCAATAAAAATAATCACTTTTAGTTGACCAAGTAGATAGGAACAATCTGAACTTTTACAAATCAAGAGTTAATTTCAAAGAGGTGCTACTTTTCCAAATAAACCACCTATTTGGTAAAACTTTTGACAATAAAATATGAAAAGGGGTTCCAGTTATTTTCTTTAATTCATGTATTATGAGTTTAACTCATGTGTATTATTAACTCACGTATCATGATTAAAATTCTGCTTTGTAATTCACATTCAGTTATCACTCTCCTTGTTTTATATTGAATACAGCTATGCTGTGCTATAAAAAGATACTTTAGACAGGAATATCTGTTGGTTTTAGACTGTTTGTTTTTGTGTCCCCTCAGTCACAACCATCCCTTGGGAAATGATGGCCCTTGGGAAATCACATGGTGTGTCCTCTTTCCTCTAGTTTGGCATCTTCATGCAACTGAAAGGATGTTCCACTGAACACTGATGACTCTGGAGAGAGAAAAGAAATCACAAATGGGCCAAATGCAGCTTAAGAGTTTTGTGCAGAAGGAGGGGCAGGGTCAAGAGGGTACTTTGTGAAAATTAGGAAGAAGGTGCAGCTTCCCTTGGGTGGACGCAGCCAACCCCATGCCAGGTTATGTGGTTTGGCAAATAGAGTAAAGTCTGCATTTAGTTCCCATTTCCCCTATTAGGTGGGCAACTGCCTACAGTGGTCTTGCGCAGGGCCAAGTTAAAGCCTAAACTAAGGGATCAGCTTCTAACGGTACCTGCTATTATATTTTGCACACAGTAAATAGTTGGGAGATGATAGTTATGAATGAATAGTATAATCATTATATTTGAACAGTACCCAATTGTTTGTGGAAGACCATATCCCAGAATAAGTTACAAGTCCAGCTTCTAAAGGTTTTCTATTAATCTGGCAGAAAGGCATTTACGAGTAGCATAGTAAATTTATAATATTCTCCTCTTGAAAAAGATGAATGATAATTCTAGAAAAAAAGAAAAGGAATCAGTGTTATTTAGTCCATTTTCTGATCTGTGGAAGTAAATTTGGATTTGGGATTGCCTACATTTTTGTGTGAAATAAAATGATATTTTTCCTTTCTGAAGTCAGTTAACAAGTCTGTGTGCAAAACCAGAGGCTGAGATGACTAGTGAAGGCCCTTTTACTCTTAGGGAATTCTTCAACAACTTATACGGACAAGTTGCAGTGTTTGCTTAAAGGAAGACACAATTGTTTTATTCTCAGATCTAGCACTGGCTACATAACATTCAGAGTCCCCACTGTACAATGATAATGTGGGGGCCAGGAGGGTGAGGAAGGCAGTTTCCCCTTTGCACAAATGAATGGGCACCCTCCAAGGAACACAACCTCTATGGTGATATATACTTTGTATCTGAGGTGGGCAAGAAGCCCTCTCCCAAACCTGGCCAAACAGCCCAGTGCCCTGCCAGCAAGGGGAAGGGTGGGTCACCTACTGTCCCAACTTGAGATGTTGTGGGCAAGGGCTGGCCTCTCTGTATTCAAGCCAAAATCCCAGCCAAGGAGAATCATAAGAAACAATTTTCACATTGGCCTAAAGAATCTCATTTCACCAGGGCTGGAAGGGAGGAAAAGGTGATACAGACAAAGGTTACTGCCTGAAAGAAAAGCACAGTGTGGAAACCCAGGCTTAAGGAATACTGGTCAACAGAGGGCTCTGCTGATTGGGAAAGAGATCGTGAGGGTGGCTGAAGAGAAGTCAAGAATGACATTCTTTCATTCAGTAATCATTTTTTTTTTAATTTTTTTTCAACGTTTTTATTTATTTTTGGGACAGAGAGAGACAGAGCATGAACGGGGGAGGGGCAGAGAGAGAGGGAGACACAGAATCGGAAACAGGCTCCAGGCTCTGAGCCATCAGCCCAGAGCCTGACGCGGGGCTCGAACTCACGGACCGCGAGATCGTGACCTGGCTGAAGTCGGACGCTTAACCGACTGCGCCACCCAGGCGCCCCTCAGTAATCATTTTTTAAGTGCCTACTATGTCTCAGGCCCTGTGCTAAAGCTGCTCATATAATGTTGAGCAAAATCAGATGTGTTCTTTATTCTTATGGGGCTTACCCCAAGTGAAAAAATTAGGGCCCAACTGAGGAGGTTCCTGAATGTCATTTGGATTCAGGGTTTCTCTGTAGACCTGAAAATCTCTCAAGTCAGAAATGTTTATCTTTGTCTCCTACAGCCCCTACTGCTGCCACCTGTAAGTTTAAATTCTTTCTTTCTTTAAAAAAATTATCTTTTTCTACACTGTGCTTATTACATTGGTCCCTATTTCTCCAATATTAAGGAATAACATGTTTATTTTTTAAATTTATTTTTTTTTAAATTTTCCTGCTTCCCACTCTTTATTGTGAATAATAGTGAAGACAGGAATGTGTTACTGAGGAAATCTTTGCCAGAGGTCACTTGTAGTTTTGTTGATTGGAATTCAAAGCATATTACCCACTGTTAAATTTTGCTAGCCAGCATCCAGGAACATATTTAGCCCATATATATATATATATATATATATATATATATATATGCAGTAAATACTATAGAATATAAATACCACATGGGAGACTTTTTATGGGAAAATTCACTCAAGAAATTCTGAGATAATAACATATGTGACTTACTAGGGACAAGTCTTTCCTGGTATAATGATAGAAGGGACTCCTTTTAGGTCACTTTCTACAACATGTCAGGGCTGCTATCTAAAGTGAAGAGTGAGAGCTAAGATTAACCCTAAGGTATAGATGTGGGATGAGTGAGGAACAGAGGGGGAATATATAAAGCAGGAGGAGGGCAGAGAACAGGCTTGTGGGGTGGGTGTGGAAGGTACAGAAGTGGGAAATTGTGGGCAACCAGAAGACAGTGGGTACCTGAAGCATGACAGAGGTAAGGACCAAGAAATGGGGGAAAAAGAGAATAAATTAGGAGGAAAAGGGCCAACTTGGTCTTATTTTCTTTCCCTGCAGTACTAACATTCTACCCAACTAATGAAAGCCATTTTGGAACCATAGTAATTGGGTAACAGAAGCATGGCAGAATGAAGGATCAACAGTCTGAAGGTTAAGCGGTAAACCCCAGTCGTCCCATTTACCAGTTGTGTGGCCTTGGGTAAGTTGTTTTACTTCTCTGAGCTCGGGCTCCCTGTCTAAAAAGTGGGTGATACTAAGGGGCTCAGACTTACACGGTTATTTTAAGGAATAAAGGAGGCTATGTGTGCAGAATATAGAATGTAAGCTTGACACAGGTAGAGAGTTTGCCTTGATCAATGCTGAATTCCCAGTGCTTAAGACAGTTCCTGGCACTCTTAATTCTTCAAACAATTAATGAATAAATAGGAAGAGATTTGTAAGTGGGGTGGCATTTAAAAATGCCTGATCCATGGGTTGTCTGCAGCTGATTAAACTACTCTAAAATGTGGTTACAAAAAGTGACGATTCTCAAAGAATGAGGTTGTCTGAATTCAAGTCCCAGCGCTGGCACTCACCATTTTTTTGTAACCATGGGCAAATTTTGGCCTCGGCCTCGGTTTCTTCTTCCATGAAATTTGGGTAATTATATTACTCACTCATGGGATTACTGTGAAGATAAGATGAGATGCAAAGCAATTGGTGCCTGGCACGTAGTAAATGCTCAGTAAATGTTAGGTGTAATGACGATGATAACAACTTTGCTATTGAGAGCAGTTCTCAGCACTACAGGAAGGTTTCAAGTTACCGAAAGACAAAATCATCCTCTGCTCTTGCCAAAGCTGGAGCAAGAAGCAGTGCTCTTTGTGAATCTTCTTTAGCCCTCTTAGAAGGGTATGTGTGGCCCCAAGTCTGGCAGGGACAGAGCTGAGCAGAGCTGTTCACAGCAAATCTGTGATGATGATCTTCTCATCTGTCTTCTAAGCTGTGGGCGGCTCCTTCTTTGGGAAGCAAGTTATAATCAGAACTTGGAACAAGCTACCTTCCAAACAATGCTCTCATTGCCTTTTCTGCCATTTAATTAATGCCAGTCTAATTTTACAGAAAGTATATAAATATGACTTATGCATATTTGTACCTATATTTTTCTGTAAGGCTTGCCATGAGGTACATAGCCATTTAAATCACATCCTTCTGATAAATATCTCTGGCCTGAATACTTAACATTATTTTTTAGAACCACATTTAGGGAACTTAGCAAGTAGAGGGATGGATATTACTTAAGCCAACCTTCAAGTTATCATTAACTAGAACCAAAAGGTGAACCTCTTATTTCTTCCAGATTATATTTTGCTGTGGGGGTTTAGGTAAATTTCAGCTGATGGCACTCAAGATCCCTTTTGCTCATGCTTTCCTTCCAGTTTCTGTCAATCTAACTCAAGAAACAGACAGCAGTCTATGGAGTGCCTCTTGAAGGTTATGAGGACGGTGATCCATGCATTCTCTTCTTAACTTCAGTGTTAGTGCATATAATTTAATTCAGGCCATGACTGAAATACATTCAAATCCTGAAAGAGGTGCACCATAACTCTTGCAGGTTTAGCATGGACCAACTGGGTGTAGCAGAGTGACTGCTGAGCTTCTCTATGACTAAATTTGCACTGTGTCTGTAAGCATGTTCACCAGCAAGCTGATTTTATTAGAACTTTGAAGAACTGGTAGAAAAGCTCTTTCTTTTTTTTTTTTACCAAACATGGATTTAAAAAATTACACAGAAATCAGCATTGTCAAGTCACATGAAGTGCAATTATAAGCAGAAGGCTTGAAACCTGTTTTTGCTTAAAGCCTTTATTTGATTTAGCAAAAACAACAGCAATAAATTGTATTCAAAAGTACTTTTGATCCTTTTGCAACAGTATTCTTACCAAGAGCAGGATCTACGTAATATCCTCCCTTTTTCGTTTAGGTCAGTTTTCCTTAGGCTTTCCAAAGTATCAGAATCTGTGTTTATAATTCTGGAGACAAAGGATTATTCAGACTCTAGTTAGTGCCCAATACTTGTAAATTGGTATTATTAGACATTTATTATTACACTGATTTTACATTTTTATTTTCTTGACATCTTCCTTGGAACCAGCAGAATCCCAGGGATTAAAATGCAAAAATGTGTCATTAAAATATTTAACACAAACATTCCTGTTCCATTTTCCTCCTGAAATTTTCAGAATTATTTCATGTTTTCCCTTTATTCTCCTTTCCCCCAAATACTGCTTTTATTATTTTGAGACCTTAGGTAGTGAGTGCCTACAATCAATACTCAATAGGAACACAACTGATAATAATAGGGCAGTAAGTTGAGGACTACATCTTTGGCTCAAAGTTCACCATAGGAGTAATTCTTGAATGGCTATAATTATATTTGATTTTTTTCTGATATAGTCCTGTCATATAAGATCTAGTGTTGTACTGTGTCTTTCCTCTTCCTTTGGCTTAATTATCACCCCAGAAATAGATGACTTTCAAAATCCCCCAGATCCTTTAACAAACATAAATTCATATTTAGGATCTAAATGATGAAGTTACAAAACTGTCATTTTGCTTTTGTGTTTTCACCAACCCATCAGGTAGTCAAGGCGTGTGGAAGCATCTCTTTAAAATAATGAGTATGAAATGTGGACAGGTTAAGTGGCTTGTTCATGTTTACCTAGTCAGAGACATGGCAGCTAGAGGGATTCAGGTCTCCTGATCCACATGTACAAGATTCTCTTTATTACCCTGCACAGAATAGTAATTGTCAGATTAGACAAACGATAAGTAGAGGGCTGGCCAATTTCGTGATGAGACGGCTATAGGTAGCAAAGGATACTTGTTCCCTTAAGTTTATTATGGCAGTGCTGGACAGCTAGCTCCCTGGACACTGTCTTGAATTAGTCTTAAGGTGTAATGGTGATTTCAGGCATACTAGAATATAGCATCAGAGACCTGGGGAGGTCCAGGTAGTGGACTGGAATAGCTGCAGCTATTAAATATCTAGGTCATCTTTTATAAAGGGTTGTAATATATACTCTAGCTTCTGATTTCAGTGCTGCCAGAAAGGGGAAAAAAAAAATCCATCTTGCTAAAATGTAGTCAGACAGCAGTTTGTCTTTCCAAAACATTATTAGGTATTATTACAGAATGTGAACACCTTTCATTCCTGACAAACAGGAAATGTATGCTGCACTACTGGTGTGTCAATCAGAGTGATAGCATCAATTTTATGGTTTTTAATTCATCCCCACCTCCTGCCGAGCCTTTTGCTCATCCCAAATTATGAATCTTAAAAGGTACGTGATTAAGAAGAAAAATATGTCTCTGCCTGTGTGAACTCCCTTGTGAGGAGCTTGGAGGCAGATATTTAAGAGATTTGTAAAGCATGCCCTGACCACTCAGTGATTTGGACAAGCGACTTACATTTCCTACAGCTGGGAGTGTCACCTCATGCTTTAGCTTTAGTATTTTGCTAGCAGCTCAAGTGATATTTTTTATATGCATTGACACCTTTACATTTGTTAAGGAGCAGAAAGAAAATAAATTAACGTATTAAAAGCCGTATTTGTCAGTTCATGATGCTTCAGTTACATTTTCAATTTAGGTTTTCCCAGTCTATTTCTTTCACTGTGGTCTTTTGTTGCTTTTGATATATATGCAATAATAAATACAAAGCCAATTCTGGAGCTGAGCTTTGAATGCACAGTTCTTTTCTTTCTACCCCTTAATTCTTGTCTTCAACATGTAATGAAAATGGAGAGCATTGCCAGTGTCAGTAGAAGTGAGGCTGTTTATAAATAAATAAATAACGTGTGCTTGTGTGTGGCGTGCATGTGTGTATGTGGGGGGGTTGTGGGGTGTGACACACACACACACACACACACACACACGAGTCTATTTCTTCTCAACAGGGGGTTTGGGAGCCTGGGGTGTCAGAATCTGTCCTCCCATGCTCCTCTCTTATTTCTGGTGAGGAGCCTTTTTTCCTGTTTTTCCTGTGCAGCTCCACCTGGACTTAATTTGCTGCCATGAACTCTGCAAATACCACACACTTATTTAAGATTTGGGAATATCATCTGATAGTTGTTGAATGTAAGGTGAAGCCATAGTTACCAATTGGGCAAGGTCAACTTTCCCTTTTTCTACTGACCACAGAGTGAATGTTCCATCACTGACAGATAATTCTCTGCTTATAGCACATGATGACATATTTAATAGGTCTTTAATAAGGATTTTCACTGTATGGTGTCCTCCATGTTTAAATCACTTAGTCATTTCAGTGTTAGGTTTAACACTTTTAGTGCTTGAGTGTTTCCACGAGAATGCGTGGAGCCTTGAAGTAACCCATGTGGTATTTGTTTGTGAAGGATTTTTCATTCTGCTTTTGCCACACTTTCTCTGATTCAGAACTGAAGTATGCTGATTCTCTTCCATGCAAGAAAGCAAATGTAGAACATGAGCAAGAGCTCTTCTTTCCCTGGTTGGGCACTAGCATAAAACGCTGTTTTGAGAGTGATGGTTAAAGGCATGTGCAAATGTGGCTAATGCAGCAGGGCCTGCCTTATAGGGAGGCAACGCCCTGCAAAAAAGCTGCCCTCCCCACTTAGGAAGAAAGGAGGTATCAATGATCCTGTCAAAGGAGCTTTCTCTAAGGGCATAGCCACACCTCTCTTTGTGTATGTGGTGTTAGCATTTCCAAAAGTGAATTTATGAACTCTGTCTCACTTGCTTCATTATGTCGCCATGTTATTAAAGGCAAGGGCACTGAAGCTTGGAGAAATTAAGCAGCTTACTTTAAGGTCATGTAGATGGTAAGTGGCAGGGCTAGATTTTGAACTCACATTTGTTTTCTGAGTCCAAACCCTTTCCTTTACCCTGTAGTTGCTTATGATTTGAACTACTTATTTGGCACTTACTTCTATTTAAATTCTCAATTAGATTACTTGATTATGAATTCCTTAAGAACAGTGGCATGTTTATAATAGGGATTTGTACATGGTATACATAAATGAGTATATACTTTAGATTGATTAATGAGTTGAACAGTTTTCCTCATTCTCTGTTTATGTGTTATGGCATTTAATCAAAGCACAAATGTTTACAGGCATTGGAGGGACTTCTGTTGGATATTGAGAACATTAGGTGATTGTTTTAGATTGAATTGTTATGTCCCCCCAAATTCATACACTAAGGCCCTAACCCCCTGTATGACTCTATTTGGAGATGAGGCCTGTAAGGAAGTCATTAAGATTAAGTGCCATTATAAGGGTGGAACCCTGACCTGTTAGGATTAGTGTTTTTATAAAAAAAGAAACCAGTGAACAAGCTCTTTCCCTCCCTCCTTGTCCTCTCCCTCCCTCTCTGTCTCTTTCTTGTTGTTTCTCCTCTCCCTCTCTCTCTCCCTTACACGTCACATGTCCTGAGGAAAGGCCAAGTGAGGATATAGCAAGAAGGCAGCCATCTATAAGCCAGGAAGAGAGTCTCTCCAGAAACCAAATCACCTGACACCTTGAACATGGACTTCTAGCCTCCAGAATTGTGAGAAAATAAGATTCTGTCATTTAAGCACTCAGTCCATGACACTATGTTATGGCAGTCGGAGCAGACAAATACAGTAATTAAAGCCAAATCTTTTTCAAGCAGGTCATTACCCTGTGGGGTGTGGATAGAGAACAGCCATAGAGATAGAGCGGAATTGGATATATGCTCATGTGCTTTGTCACTTTGGAAGTGAAGGTTAATGTTATTATACCAGCAGGCCCAAAATGCCCTCAAAGTCAAAATGGCATCAAAATGGTTCAAAACATTTTGTACTGTTTAGAAGTGTATACGGCAGTATTTAAGTCTGCATGGTTAGGGGTGAAAGTGAGAATGATGGCAAAAGTCTTCAGAGAGAAAATGAGAGTCTGTGTCCTGAAGAATGAACAGTTTTCTAGAAAATAGGGTGAATGAAACTATGTCTTCCTCTGAGAGAAGAGAGGTATAAGTGAACACAGTGGAATCATGGATTCATTCATTATGGCTAGAGCTTAGAATGTACATGCTTGAGCTATAGAAGGTGAGGTCGGAAAGATAAGAAAGAGCCAGTTTTTTACAAATCTTCATATGTTAAGCTTAGAAATCAGACTTCAGTCTGTAACATGGATGACATAAAATAATTTTAACTTCTGTAGTTACAGAATCATATTTGCAGTTTAGAAATTTACTCTCGAGGCACTGTGGAGATTGTACTAGAACCCAGTCTTGGGGTAGGATTTAAGGGAGTGATGCTAGTTCAAAAATTCTCTAGGAAAGATTACAGAAAAGCAGGCATGAAGCTGCCTTTGATATTTTCTCCTTAGCTGAAGGACAGAACTCAAATTTTCAACCATTCAGAATTCAAGTAATACTTCCTTCTTTTTATTATGGCCCTGGAATAACTTATTTCTAGAAAAGAAATGACTTATTGTTCTTGTGGATACCACACATCACGAATGACACCCATGCTCTGGTCCTCATCAAAACCAGAGTAGCTCCAAAATGAATAAGCTGGTGGTCTGGTGAGAAATTCAGCATTCTCTATTTCTTCTTCTGAACACTCCTTGGTTTCATTTTTATGAGGTACCACATTTTGCTATGCTTTTAGCTGGACCTGTTTTAATGTTCTTAATCCAGTGTTTCAGAGAGCAGTAAAAAGAACAAGTAAACATGTTCACTGAGAAATCACTAATGCAAGCCCTAAGCCCAACAGGATTCATAAAATATATAACCTCATCCTAGCCTGGCCAGGATGCTGTAGACTGGAACTAGTTGAAATATGGGAGAAAGTTCATGTTTTTGTGCTGTGAACTGGGCTTTTCCTTTGTGCCTAATGAGTTTTAAAACAGTTGTAAAATCACTACTGTTAGACTCTCCTGAGAGCAACTCACATGTGAGAAAGGTGGACAACCTTGTCTTGTGATTAATATGCCTTCCCCACTCAGTATTGTGCTCATTTTTTCCTTTT